AACCAGTGTCACGACAAAACAAACTCGAATCTGGCCTGTTCAGCGCCTTATTCGCTTGCGCTAATGAAGCAACAGTAAGAGAATTGTGTAATTATATAAATAATAAAACTAGCGGCAAATACCACGCCTCGGTGACCTCATCGTTTAGCAAAACAAAGGTTTCTTTTGTTTTTCACTCAACAAAAGATCTCCAAAAGATACCCTTGGAAAACTGAGTGTTTCGCATGCGTTATTTCTCAAAAACAAAGCGCAAGTCAACAAAAACAATTACGTAACGATGTTTTTCATGTCAAAACAAGTCAGTCTGCCAAAAATTAGCTCAATCCTGCAAAAAATAAAAATCAGCCCAAAATGCTATATACGCCCTTTTTGCACAAAAGCCTTCAATTATTTCATATGTGACACTTCACAACCAAACATCACGTCATTATGGACACCAAATGACAGTCCTGAGAGCGTCCGCTCTGACAAGAGTTGACTGTACAGATCTCATGAGCAGGGGGAGATTATAACATCGCATTATGCCATTACCCTCAGGGTACATGGGGCATAATGGCACACTCTATTCAGCAATTTGGGCTAAAATTTGTCTTGTAACCGTATTTCAGAATTTGCTGGCAGGTGCGATATTTGGTATCTGGGCAGGCTTCCCATTGGTGTGTTTCTTGACTGGGTGTGGCGCGACATTTTGTTATCTCCTGTCCAAGGCATTTGGCAAGGTTCTTTTATTACAATATTTTCCAAACAGAGTGCAAGCATTACAAAGCAAGGTGGGTGGAATAATGGCTTTGGCTCATCTGATCAGATTATCTGCATGATTGTAGCCGTTCCCCCCCTGGGGTACCCTTGAACAAATTGGGTGGGGGTGTGTGGCCTGCTCCAACAAACGTTACCCTATTTAAGACTAAAATCTGTGATTTTCCCTACCCTATCAATGACCTGACCCTTAAATCAATACCCTGTTTTGGACCTGCCTACTTGTATAATTAGTTCCCTAGTTCAGAATGATGTTAAAGGCATTGTGAAGGGCTTTTGTTGATGGTCTCTTGGATAATGATGAAAAAAGTAGATTCTCCTAACAAACATAGCTAATTCAAGAATAGAGTGCAAAAACCATACACTATTTGTGACCAAAATGGGCAAAATCAATATCGTATTTCTGGCCAAAATGGCTAAAAATGTAGATTCTTCTATTTATCAAATAAGCATAACTAATTCAAGACTACAGAGCAAAAGCCATACCCTATTTGCAACCAAAATAGGCAAGAGCAATACCCTATTTCTGGCCAAAACAACTAGAAAGCCATCCTCTTTTGGGCTGCACATACATGTATGTATGAATCCCTATGTGTCACAGGGCATTCTGGGTAGCCCATATAAGAGAGTACATCTCCCCCCCC